TTTTTCCATTGATTTTGTGTCAAAAGTCAGAAGCAAAAAGTGTTTGCAATAAAAAACAATTGAAAACAATAGAAAGTGTATTAGAATTGTTGATCGAAAATATAACGTTAAAAAAGTTGAATAATCTCTTTATTGCACACAATGTCAAAGCCATTGCAACGGAGAGTCTTAGAGAGAACTCATCCCAAAAGTAAAAAAGTTGAAAATTCTTGAGTGGAAGAAGAGATCAACATTTTGAGTGGTATTTTCATGAGAATGAGCTTAAAAACTGCTCTCAAGTCATCGAACTGTCAGATAGTGGGTAACTGTTGGGGTCCTGAGAAACACTACTCCAGTATTTGAGTGCATAGAGCCCTGAAAGATGTGTGGGTGTCATCACTTGAAGCTATGATAATTCAACATCAGCTGCAATGCAATCATGCATTTCAGACAAATGACCCTTTCGTACAACTTATGCGAAGACTCCCTCAAAGTCTACAATGGCTTAATCGCGGCCTCACCTCTGCCTCCAGTCTAAGACATTGTGATCGGACGTTGTCTTCATATCGTCTTCAAAACTAGAGAGTCTATCAAATTGTTTCTATTTTTCATTTCAAGTGTTTCTCTCCTATTCTCGTTAGCCTTGAATTATATTTGAGTTTTAGCCAAATGTTAAGAATATAACAAAATATAGTAATAATAACATAATCTTTTAAAACAATAACTGAATTATAGAGTTATCAAATAAATTATGTTTAATTTGAATCTAAATATAAATCTAAAAGAGATTATCTCAATATCTCAATGACAATCATAAAAAGACTACACTTTTTACAATAAATGCTTATTAAATACATCAATGGCTTTACATCACACATAGTGTTTGAGTTATGATTTGATTCGTTAATCATTTGATAATAAAAATGAGAGACAAAGTATTGAAAGTGTGGCCAATAGTATAAACAATAGGGAAACGGTATTATTAACAGTGGCCCTGAAATCTTTCCATCCGTCAAATGTGCATAAATTCATCCCAAAAAAGCTCACAAATCGTGAGAAGACTTTTAATTTACAATAAAGTCTTCGTTTACAAGAGTTCTAAGCAATAAAAGTAACAAATCTTTTCTAAATGTACTTTTGGCACGAAATCAATGGCTTTATAATAAGAAAGTGATAATACTTTCAATGGACTATTAAATGATATATTTAGACCAAAATATCAGTTTTCGGTGTAATAGTAAAGTCCTATCGTTTGACTGCAATAATTATCGATCGATAATATGGTTGACTCACAAAATGCTGCGAAAATTGATGATTCATTGATTCATTCCGGGTTTTCATTACCAAACGCTTTAAACAATGTTAAGGAATCACTGCTCGGATCAAAGTTTGAGATCAATGCCCATTGCGTTCACAAATCATTCAAAACCCAACAACTCTTCCGCTCACTTCTCTTCCCCAATAGACTGATGTTTAAAACATAAGAGAAATCTTAAGTCATAATTAATTGTACACAAACTCCCACTTGCTTTCAGTATTTAATGGACAAAATGTCTTTCGCATTGCAGTCGGTGTACAACAATCCCATCGCACGATAGAGATCAGCAAAAACACCGACAGTTTCTTACAGTCATTTCATGCATTTAAACATTTATTTCTTGTTTTTTAATGACTTTTTCCTACAAAACAATCCATAAAAATAACTGAGAACTGAATATATATTAATATTCTTACAGTAATATACTATTAATACTGTTCTTTAAGTGAAATCACTTTCACAACTATTGAGTCAATTCAATATTCAATATTCAAATTTATGTGTATTTAGATTACATTCCGTTTAAAATTCATTTATTTTTCTTTTTTAAAAGGGTTTAAATTAGAATTTATATTATTTTGAGTTAAATATGATTTCAGTTTATAACTAAAAGAGTACAAATAGTTAGAAAAAATGTTTAAACGTTTTTGTAATAAAAAATGTTCGTCTGATTGGAAGGGAAAACAATGAGGTCTTTGGGATATCCCTTGTATTTTCACATTAATTCTAATCATTTAATGCATTTTTAAATTTATTACCAATTAATCAATTGTCGAAAATAATTTGAAAAATTTATTAAAAATTTCATAATTAAAAACTAATAACTTTTTATAACAGAAAAAGAAATGACAATAGATTTTAAAAGACTATAAAAAGTAAATTTCAATTGCAAAAAGTGAAAACTATTCACGCAATTGAATGCATGACTGAAATGAAGGTCATAATAGACTCTTTTTATTTGATTTGATTCTGTATTAAGTCATTGTTTGTTAGAGTATTTACTTTTTGTGGCAAATATTTTAAACATATATTCCATGACATGCTTTAGGGTTTAAAAGTCATCATATTTTTTGCACAAACGAAACACAGAGAAAAAGTTCAACCTTTAAAACATTATCTAAACATTAACTCAAATGTTTTGGACGTTTCACAAAATTTCATAATAGAATTAAATTCTGTAAAAAAGGGAATTGACTTCAAAAATATAATCGCCTTTTTTCATGAAAGTTATTCATCCCTTCAAAAGAGTTAAATCGCTTTCATTTTAGTAGTTGTGAACAGAACTTTGCATTTCATTCAAATCAGCATTACTTTCAAATCGATGACTAAATCCAATTAAAACAACATTTTTTAAATGAAATTTCCATTTTCATAGAATTTCATAAAATATTGTAATTTTAAAAGTTATTTTCGTACTTATAATTAAAATTTTATTATTAATAATAATATTTTTATGTTTTGAAGAACATAAAAATATAGCAAAAAATTTAATTAATAAACAACACGTTTAGAAAAACATATGATTACATATGCATTCAATATAATAACAATTAGTTAACAAAATAGCAAAAACAAAATTCAAATGAATTGTTAATGAAGTTTTTGTTTATGAATTGAATCCTTCAAACAATTAGAGGTCACTATAAAAATCGCACAGACTTTCCATTATATAATAAATTATATAATTTCAAACTGTCTAAACAATAACAAGTAAATAACATGCCTATTGTACCCCACAATACCATTAGCTATATCTGCAACGGTTTGGGTATATGAATGAATCGGCCGCCGCTAATCTCGTCTCTGAACAAACCTATTCCGATGCCGTCGTTGAGTTTCAACGCTTCGCTGGACTCAACCAAACAGGTATTTAGTGGGTCTATAATTAGTCGGTTGATTGGCTTAATGTACTAAATGTGAACTGAGAGAGCATTTAAGTGAAAATTGTGTAACTCTTATAAAGGGATCCTAAACGATGAGACGGTGGAGATGATGAACGCCCCGCGTTGTGGTAATAAAGACAAAGTTGGACACAGCGAAGACGCCAAACGAAGGAAACGCTATGCATTACAAGGTCTGCACATACTATCCATACTATACACACTCTATGAAGTCATTATTCAGTGATTTAGTAGTTATATAACTGCACCTAAACTTGAATTCGCTTTGAAATCAATGCTTTTTATAATTTAAAAAAAAGATATTCCGATAGAAATTCACCACAAAATCATTGACACACTTGAATGCATACGAAACAAACAAAACACTTATAATTGTTGAATGCGTTAATTTAATAAATTATTATTATTTAATAAATTAGAGACCCAGTGGCATTAAATATAATCACCAAGAATGTTCGTTATTGTAACAAATTGTGATAAATTATTAAAAATATTTAAATTACAAAGAATTATAAAAAGAGCAATAAAATAATTTTCTGTGAATAGAAAATTAACTCTTTTTAGAGAATTATTTAATGATTCATTTCTATTGAATAAAAATAAAATATATTTCAAAACAATAGTGAAATACAGGGAAGCTATGCATCAAAGCTTATTATCAATATTTCATATAATTATGTTTTGTTTTGTCTAAAAATATAATGAAATTAACTATTATTTAGGATCTAAATGGCGGCGAACGGACTTAACGTATAGGATATCACAATATCCGACAAAATTTCTCAATAAAAAACAAGAGATCGACAAAGAAATAGCGAAAGCATTCAAACTATGGTCAGAAGTGACACCACTTTCGTTTGAGGCCAAAAAGGAGGGTCGCGTTCACATTGACATACGCTTTGTGAGTGCAGAACACGGCGATGGGGACCCGTTTGACGGACCGGGCAATACGTTAGCGCACGCATACTTCCCTCAATACGGAGGGGACGCTCATTTCGATAACGAAGAGTATTGGACCATCTCTTCATACGCCGGTCCGTTCAATAAACACATTCATCTATACGTTATAATTAAAGGCCAATTAATTCATAATTAATGTATCCATAAATATAGGGACAAATGTGTTTCAAGTGGCGGCACATGAGTTGGGCCACTCGTTAGGGTTGGGCCACAGCAGCGTTAGAGACTCATTGATGGCACCGTTTTACCAAAAATATAAACCCAAATTCAAACTGCACCAAGATGACACTCTAGCCATTCAAGCCCTATATGGTGTTCGACACACTGCCAGCGATCCGGCCGACAAACCCGTGGAAAAACCTAAACCCCTGGACCCGGACCCCAGCGCTGACGGACCAGATCTATGTCAAGACAGTACCATCGATGCGGTCACACGTATTAGCGACGGCACAACATTTGTGTTCAAAGGCCTTCACTATTGGAAAGTAGAGACAAATG